TCAGTGTGTGTCATAGTGACCAGTCATTCCCAGTCTTTCTGCTGTTAGGGTCAATTTGCATATTACCCTTTTATTATATAGGAGTGCCTGGCCATCCTGGGTGAGGGGCTGAGGGGCTGAGGGCCGTTTGCAGGCTGGCCACAGTCCCTTCAAGGTGAAGGGTCCTGCTGGGGTGCCTGGCCAGTTTGGGTGAGGGGCTGATGGCCATTTGCAGGATGGCTAAGCCCCCCAACGGGGACCCTCACCCCTGAGGGTGTGGCCATCCTGGGTGAGGGGCTGATGGCTCTTTGCAGGCTGACCACGGCCCCCAGTCACTCAAGCTCCCAGTGGAGGCTGGCTGGAAGCAGGTATCTGGGATTTATTTACCTTCTATAATTGAAACTTTGTTGCCTTGAGCAGAGGCCTCAGTCGGCCAGGCCAGGCGGGAAGTTGGGCTTCCTCCATCATCAGGGGCAACCCAAGCCTCCTGTGTGCTCCAGCTCCATGGCCACAGCCATCTTGTTTGGGTTATTTTGCATACTGGGTCCTGATGAGCTGGTGGGCGTGGCTGGTGGGTGTGGCTTGTGAGTGTACAGAGGTATGGTCAATTTGCATGTTTCTCTTTTATTAGATTAGATTAGATAGATGTATGTAGAAACTCCAAAAGGATTTATAAGTAACATGTTAGAAGTCATAAGACTGACTTTAACAAGTTTGTATCACAGAAAAGTCTATATGAAAATATCAATTCCCTCATCTACTTATTGGTGAAAGACTAAATTCCTCAAGATCAAAAATAAAACAATACAAGGATATCTGCTCTCACCACTCTTATTCAACATAATATAGGAGGCCCTAGCCAGCAAAATAAAATCAGAAAAGATAAATAGCATACAAATTCCAAAGGAAGAAATAAAACTACTTCCATATGACAAGACGGTCTACATAAAAGTTTTATGGGAATCTATAAAAAGAAACAGCCAAAAAAAAACCCCACAAACTAGTTGAACAAGGTTGCAGGTTGTAAAGGTCAACACACAAAATCAATTGCATTTCCATATAGAGCAAGGAACAAATGGAAACCTAAGTTAAAAGCACAACACTACTGTCACTTCCCCATCCTCATTTAATGAAATACTTCAGCATAAACCTAACAAAACATACAAAGGATTGGTATGCTAAAAATTACAAAATACTAATAAAAGAAACCACAAAAGATCTAAATAAATGCACCCATATACCATGTTCATGAATTGGAAAATTGACCTTATGTAAAGACGTCAATTCTCCCCCAAAGTGATCAATAGGTTTAAGGATTCTAATAATATCCCAGCAAGACTTTTCATTATTGAAAAAGACAAGCTTATTCTAAAATTTATACAGAAAGGTAAAGGAACTAGAATAAATGAAATAATTATTTAAAAGAATTGTTCTGGGAGGAAATCTTTCTACACAACTGTAAAACTTTCTATATAGGTACAAAAAACAAGAATGTGATATTGGTAGAGAAACAGACACGTAGATCAAGATCACAGAATAAATAACCCTGAAAGAGATCTACAAGTATGTTGAATTGATTTTTACAAAGGTGCATAAGCAAATAAATGGAGTAATAATAGTATTTTCTATATACAGTGTTGCTGGAGCAACTGTATATACATATGCAAATAAAAAAAAACAACCCTTAATGTAAATACCTCATAGTTTTTACAAAAATTAATTAAAAATAGCCCTGGGCAGTGGCTTGGTTGGTTGGAGCATAATCCCATATAGCAAAAGGTTGTGGGTTCAAATTTGGGTAACAGCACA